AATCTGGTCTTTGTGGGTTTTTCCTCCTCTGCCCTTCTGTCCATCTGCCAGGGATATGCGCCAGCCTCTTTTCTTCTATGAAGGCCTCTTGTGGAATTTAGTTCACTTTGATTCTTTTGTATCCTCATCTCCCTAATGGGTTCAGAAAATCTACTCCTCTTAAGCTTACAGTTTGCTTTAGTTAGTAGGTTGAGAGGGACACATTCTTGCAACTTCCTACAACACCAAAAATGGAACTCAGTGCTTTGCATTTTTAAAATATTTCCAGATTTCTGTGCCAAAACTGCTTTTGTCATTCCTTGAAACTATTTCCTTTGAAATATATAGCAATAGCCTAGCATCTCTCGATAAGGAAACTAACCATTTGAGGACCTACTTTTGCCAGGTGCTTTGCATGTTGTTTCAGGTCATCCTTATATCTCATGTTATTTATTTCAATTGATATTCTAAAATAGCCAGTTTTGTTCTTATGTTGAAGTTAGAAGTGAGATAGAATATCTTCATGACACCATGGAAACTTTAAGAACTGAAATGGCTGAGCACCTGCAGGTGCATTTCCAGATTTCACTTCGACTTCCAGGTGGGACCGCTTGGAACCTGCAGGCAAAAGAATGTCACATGGAATTTGGATATATTTCAGAAAGTTATCTCTAATATTTGTCCACTGATTTGACAGATGTTTATTGAGAACATATCATGATCCAGTCTAGTCTTCACTATCAACATAATGGTCCCAAAGTCACACTTGGTCCCTCCCTCACCCTCCCAGAGATTAAAATCCAATACCACCCATGACTTTTGATTAGTTGTCTAAGGGTGAAGATGGTCTTCTCCACATAGGCAGTATCTTCATTTTACCTTAAGAAAGATCTTCTTTAGTCTTTTGAGTCTGATACTGGTATAGTTTCTATACAAATGATAAGGACAGATTAGCAACATTATTCAATGAAAGCACTAGTACTATGCATCATGGAAAGCTTTCATATATGGGCACATAACTTCCATAGCTTGGCACATCTGCTTAAACAGAATATCCTGTTTGGAATCCTTACCTCTTGCTTTTTTGTAATTTGGGGGAATAATATCGCCAGCAATATTGAAGATGGCTTGATAAAGCATATATTTTTAGAAGTTAAATGATGGAGAAAATTGTGAACCTTGTTGTCAGATAGAAATGAGGATTCTGAGGTCAGGAGATGACAGTTAGGTATTTTATTCAGAAATACTGCTATGGAAGGATTGGTCCATATAAAAGATTGCATAAAAAATTACTTTCAGTGGGGCCTCAAAAGAGTACCTCAAATTCTGACTTGGAAATTGTGGAGTGCAGAACTCTCATTATGTAACCCTAGTAAATTATGGAAAGCAGTGGAGTCTGAATGCAAGCATCAGAGCTTTTTTTTAAAAAAACAAACAAACAAAAAGCCTGATATCCTTAATTCGCCCAAAAACTCTCCAGGATGCTGCCTTAGTTTTCCACTCCTGGAATTTATTCAAGAAATTGGGTTATGAAGGGGGTTTTTCCTTCATAAATAGAAAAAAAAAGGGAGAGAAATGCACTACAACAATGAATATTTTGTAAACAGTCATGAAGTTAAGGGTAAGGGTAGGGGTAGGGTAGGGCGCTACAGGCAGTGTCCTCCGTTATGTAAGGGCGGGAAGAAGAGCCACCAGGCGTTTCCGTAGTGTAGTGGTTATCACGTTCGCCTCACACGCGAAAGGTCCCCGGTTCGAAACCGGGCGGGAACACATTTTTTTTTTCTAATTCCAGCAACTTCAAGTTGCTTATATTTACAAATAACAAAACTTACAAATCGTCACACTTGCTCTTTGTTTGAAAACAGAAATTGTCCTGAGAGTCCCGCGCTGATGCGTGATTTCGCTGTTCACAAGAGGCAGCTTTTCCTCTCCCTTCTCTGCTCTGCTGGGTTCCCTCAGGGCCTGTGAGGGTCCCCGGGAAAAGTATTAGAGGAAGGGGATGAGCCTGCGGAGAGGAAATGGTTGCTCTCTTTGGAATTTGGATCTCTACCAAGAGACTTCACCAGAAACCTACCCTGAGGGCCCCTTATCTTGGACCCGATCTGTAGCAGAAAAGTCTCCCAGACTCGATCAGCTTCTTCTGGGGCTCCAGGTGCGGTCTCCTTTAGAGTACTGCTGAGTTCCATAAAGAACTCTACTCACCATTCTAGAAGAGAGCTCTGGAAGAAATTTTTTCTCCTCCACTTCCTCGTTTATAGCGTTTTCTTGAGCTTTTATTTAATTTTTAATAGGTAGTATCTAAAGTCTAAAGTGACATGCAGTAATCTCCCTCCTGGTCCCAGATAATTCCATCTCCTTAGTCTCCTGCCCCTCAACTGGGTACTGTTGTCATGAGTTTACTGATTATTCTTGAGTAGGTTTTTTTTTGTTTGTTTGTTTGTTTGTTGTCAAATGCACAAATATATCTCCAATAGTAGTATTCTATAGAGACTGATGTGAACTTTGCTTTTATTTTATATTGTATGTATGTACATAGTGATCTTTATCATTTTGTTTTAAATATACATAGCACTCCATTACGTAGTTATGCCATAATTTATCTAATTAAATAACTGACTAATTAGGTTTGTCTCAGTCTTACAATTAATACTGCAGAGAATAAGCTTGAACACAATATAATCTCTCATGTGTTCGAGTCTCTTTTACTTTTGTGGAAATGCTGTACAAAGAGTATATGCGTTTGAAACGTTGGTAGATCCTGCCAAATTGTACTCCATAGCAGCAAGGCATGGTATATTTGTCTGTGGAGAACACAAATGAGTAGAATTGCAAGCACGCTGAACCCAACCCTTACTTCATTCTCTGCCAAGTATGAAGCAAAACCAGGCAATCCATGAAGACTGTAGAAACGTTTTGAAAATCAAGGATTATTGTGATGCTGGAATCTTGCCTTCTCTCAAAGAGGTAAGACTTCACAGCCTGGAGCCTAGCAGAATGGGAACCAGTTGGATGAGGCTGGGAAGGAGCTGAGTGGAGAGATCTGATGAAGGGGCTTGGGGAGTGATCTCCTTTTGCATACTGTTGGAAGTAAACATGTCAAATAAACAAGAGTAGCCAGAATAGTTAGGATTATTAATCAGAGCCCGGTGCGGATGTGCTTTTCAAGGCTTAAAGAGAGCTTGAAATTAAGCTGTGATGGCCGAGTGGTTAAGGCGTTGGACTCGAAATCCAATGGGGTCTCCCCGCGCAGGTTCAAATCCTGCTCACAGCGTATGCCAGTGCGTCGCCGAAAAAGGTAATGCTCTTACTGTGGGCTCTAGGTCCTCATCTTAGTCCACAAGCTGCGAAGTTAGGAGGCAGCTTCTCATAATAGAGTATTTTGACTCTTACATTCTCTTCCAAACTGGTTGGGCCCCTGTGAATCCCTTGAGCGCAGAGGCGGTGCTTACTTCAGCCCCACTAGCTACAGTCTGTCCGCACTACGCGGGTAGTCGGAGACTTAGCGAATTCTTAAAACAGCTGCTTGTTTTGTATTGAGTGTGTTCAATCTAAACACAGCGGCAGATTCCAATGACAAAGAGCAACAGGAAATTTTGTTTTTAAAAATCTGTAATAAAATTCACCACTCTGATAATAGAAATGCAGGCAGCTTCCTTAAAGAGTTCTCCGGTATTTTAACAACAAACAAACAAACAAAAAACGGGCTGGCGGGAACCTTATAGGTCTAGGATCATAACTATCCATTTGTGTGTGTGTGAGAGAGAGAGAGAGTGAGAGAGAGAGAGAGCGCGCGAGCGAGCTCCAAGGACTATTCAAAACATTGCACTGTAGAAATGAGGAAATTGGGGCAAAGGGAGATACACAACTTGGACCAAGGCAGTAAATCTAATGGGGAAAAACCCAGAGAAACTCTGCGGGCACTGCGGCTGCACTCGAACCCAAACTGTTGTATTTCTCTCTCTTAAAGGACCACCCTCACTTACTTTTGTATTTCCAAGTGCATATTTCGCCTACATGAGCCCTTCAATATAGCTAGCCAATTTATGTAATGATGACAGGTATACTTTAATTTTATAATTATATTAACTCTGAACTTCATGGTTCCTATATGAGTTTGGTTCTTAAAAGTGTTTACCTTCACCTAATTTGGAAGAGTGGGTGCTTCAGAATGTCTTTTGCCGCATAGTCTGAAATTTTTTCCTCTGTAAAGAGTTTTGGCTCTTTGGAGAGTGAGATGGAAAACATATAATACCTCAAGAATGTGTTTTATTCTAACTTCTCTTTCACTATATCAAAACTGAAA